GAGAGAGAGAGAGAGAGAGAGAGAGAGAGAGAGAGAATGGGAAGGGGGAAAAGGGAGAGCGAGAGACAGAGAGGGGAGGTAGAAAAAGAGGGAGAGAGAGAAAGAGAGAGAGAGAGAGGGGGAGAGAGAGCGAGAGAGAGAGAGACAGAGAGAGAGAGTGGGGGGAGAAAGAGGGAGAACGAGAGAGAGAGAGAGTGGGGGGGAGAGAGAGAGAGGTGTTTGTTATTATAATAAGAATTATTGTTTCCTGTAGTTTTCTATCTGCCTCGGTTTTCAGGCTGACCCCGTGCCATCCAGTCATTATTGTACACATATGACTATAGTCCCATCTTCCAAATCCCACCTTCTGTTTCCCATCTATCACCTCTTGTTTCCCATGTACCGAATCCAACTTTCCATATCCCATATCCCAACTTTAATTCTGTAAGCGCGCTTCGTTTTCTTTTACCTCATGAGGTGGAACGCCTGAAACAGACCAAAATATTAAATAATTGCTATATATCACTGTTGCCAAAGTCCAAATCAGATGTGCTGTTCAAGCACACGTTTTCAAAAGTTTTGATTTAATACTGTTTTATTCGGAATCAAGGTTTGTCTCCATGAGATTTCTTGGATGCATCCTCGGAAGCGAGTTTATTTTTTCCTTTCCATAACTTACAATTCGCTCAGCACGACTACAGGGATCCATAATAATATATTTTGATGTCAATTTGGTCAGAGAATCGCAGTCAGAATCAAACTTTCATTTAAGAAATTATATAACAATCTGACATGACTAATAAATAGAAAACGCTCCCTCTCGAGAGAGGTAATGTGACTCTCTTTACACAGAATCTGTCGTTTTATTTCAAGAACCCATATGATAGGGAAACAACTAGTTGTTGTTTGATATCATTAAGAAGAGACAAGGACAGTTTGAATCTGCTAGACATTGATATAAAAGATCGCAACATCAAGTCGTAAAGAAATTATAAAGCAAGACTGCATTGTGTCGCCACAATATTCACTTCTTAAGTTGGACAAAGAAACTTGCTCCCATAGCACGTAATGTCATTATTTGTCTGGTAATTCTGTAATTAAAATGATGTCGACCAGGGACAACGAGCTAGACTTACTACGACACTAAAACCAACTTTGCGATTTGAAATGATTACACAGCAAACTACCCGAGTTATATCGTTGAACATCTTGCTGCTTGAAATCCTTAAACAATTTTCCTCGTTTTTTGCTGGATGATTTTCATTTTTCTTTTCTCCTTTCTCATCTACCTACTCAACCCCAACCCTTTTCCCGGTTTTTTTTCTTTTCGTTCTTTTTGTTTTTATTTGTGTGTTAATTTTTGTGTGTGGCATCGGTGGCCTAGCGGTCAGGCTCTCGGACTCGCAACCGTAAGGTCGTGGGTTCGCATCCCGTCAGGGGCCCGACGTGTGTCCTTGGGAAAGGCACTTTACTTTACACGAATTTTCCCTACTTCACCCAGGTGGGAATGGGTACCTGGCTATAGACAGCGAAAGATCTTTTCAGTTTGTTAGTGTTTGAGCGCTTAATCAGCTGCTTGCACTGTATGCTATGTTTCGGAGTGTCCTATGATCTGCTGGGGTAATAATATAGTGTAAAGCGCATAGAGCCTGCTGTTAAGCGGGGATATGGGCTATACAAATGCTATTTATTATTATTATTATTATTATTATTATTATTATTATTATTATTATTATTATTATTATTATTATTATTATTATTATTATTTTTGTTATCTTTAATTAAACTATCTCAGCAATTCTCATTCCACATATTTAGTCTGTACCTCCTCGTCTCCTCCCCAAACAAAGTTGTACATACACACACACACACACACACACACACACACACACACACACACGCACGCACGCACACATACAGACACACACACACACAAACACACGCACACGCACACACACGCACACACTCCTCAAGCAGTCGGCGATGAAACCAAACCTCGCGTCGCCTAGTGACGTAGCCCAACACGCGCTACGCGGCAAAGCGAGCGCGATACGGCCGCGGACAAAAGCTCAATGAGGAAGTGCAATATCTTGGTACACACGGTCTTTGGTGTTGCTACGGCATCGCATTATTCAACTATTAATACGTGCTGCTAGGGCATTTGTGATGTACTGACTGGCAAAAGAATTCACAGATTTTGGTTTTTTTTATCATATTATATTTGGCTTTTGAATAGTGCTGATAGCTAAATCTAGATTACCTGTCTTGAATCAGTAATAGTAATCTAGAAGCAGCCAGATCTAACTTATTGCTATGCCTTTGGGCTTTGGAATATAATATATAACTTGAATTGCAAAGTTCTAGTTAATTTTAGATTCCGCATCTCTAAGTATTTTTTCCAGGGTTAATAATAAGTAATCTCATTATAACAATCACTTTTACTTTTATTAGATCCAACTTTTTTTTTCTAAAATCTGTTTCGCGCAAACTTAATAGTAGAGAACAGAGTTTAAATTGTAAGCCTCTGCTCAGTCTTTCAGTACGTGTATATATATATATAATTCTCTCTCTCTCTCTCTCTCTCTCTCTCTCTCTCTCTCTCTCTCTCTCTCTCTCTCTCTCTCTCTCTCTCTCTCTCTTTTACTTTTTACACATTGTTAACGAACCTTTGTCACTGCTATAACCGATTGGTCTCCGATAGGGCCCTGTTATTTCCGATAACTGTTAATAGAGACAAAGAGTACCTGTTAGTACCGGGCCTGTTATATATGGTTTCCACTATATATATATATATATATATATATATATATATATATATAGATATATATATATATATATATATATATATATATATATATATATATATATATATAATATATGAATATTATAATATGTATCTATAATATATTATTAACTTTATGTTATTTTCTGGATATTTTTAAAACTCTTTTTACATTATTGTGCCATTTTCTTCTATAAGAATAGCATTAGCAGTGGATTTTTTTAGACAGCGAGTCTCTGACTCAATTTTTTTATAAATTATGCTAATCAATGAAAATTGCTAATTGATAATAGTTAGAGAATAGGTGGACACCGGGTTCTACCTAGCCAAGAGCACAGGTGGACCCCGGGGTCTGCCTAGCGAAACCTTAGGTTTTAGTATATTGTAATAATAATTATGTGGACCCTGGAGTCACCGTAGTGAAATAAGTAGGTTTAGTTTGAAGGATTGGTGGACCCCGGGGTCATCGTAGTGAAATACGCAGATCTAGGTTTAAATAAGGATTGGTGGACCATGGAGTCAATGTAGTGAAATAAATAAGTAGATCTAGATTTAAGTCTAAGGTGGACCCCGGGGTCTACCTGGCCAAGAGGATAGGTGGACCCTGTGGTCTACCTAACAAAATAATAGGTTTTAGAATAGGTGGACCCCGAAATCACCGTAGTGAAATAAGTAGGTTCAATTAAGGATTGGTGGACTCCGGGGTCACCGTAGTGAAATAAGTAGGTTTAATTAAGGATTGGTGGACTCCTAGGTCCCTGTAGTGAAATAAGTAGTTTTATTAATTAATGATTGGTGAACTCTTGGGCCACCTTGATTAATCCTACTTATTTCACTACGGTGACTCCGGAGTTCACATAGCTAAAACCTAGTATTTCACTAGGTTGACCTCCGGGGTCCACCTATCCTTTTGGCTAGATAGACCTCGGGGTCCACCTATCCACTTCCTTAATAATAACTGATAACAATACAGTTATCATAAGTAGAATCTAGTGAAGAAAATTGTGTGAAAGAAAAAATAAGATAATGAGGAAGACTATAATTTGTCCCAAAAAATTGCAAGTGCAAGTGGAGATCATAAGACGATTTTGTTATTTTCTGGTCATCTTTCCACGGTTTATAAAATGTTCCACTATGTCTCTGAAGAACATTTTGCTCGACTTTTTATAAACTTTGTTTTAAGTACTTGAAAGCATAAAATATAGTTTCACACAAATGCATGTGCAATATTTTGAAAAAGAAGGATAAGGAGCTGACTTAAAATAGTCTTTTTTAATGCAATCTGTTTTACGTAGAGAAAAACGCAAAAAACAAGTTTTGAAATTTTAAGAATGTCCATAATATTAAGAAATTACTACCTAGTTGGCTTACTCTTTAATAATCATATGTGGGTTTTGTCTAAATATGACAATTAATAGTAAAGATCAGTGGCGTCGCGTGGGTTTCAGACAAGGTGGAGCATAATTGGAAAGTGAGCAAATGGGCAACAGGCTTAGTAACTACTGTTAAGTAGGTAAGTAAGTTTGTTTATTCAGTGTTTAAGGCCATTGGCCCACATCATATCACTCAGAACACTCATTTGATAAATAAAGTTTCCATAATGAATAAGTACAGGTTGTGCACAT